TTTTTGTTTTGTTTTGTTTGTTTTTGTTTAAAAATTTTTTCTTAAATATTTTATTTATTTTTGAGACAGAGAGAGACAGAGCATGAGCAGGGGAAGAGCAGAGAGAGAGGGAGACACACAATCTGAAGCAGGCTCCAGGCTCTGAGCTGTCAGCACAGAGCCTGACACGGGGCTCAAACCCACAAACCGTGAGATCACCACCTGAGCCGAAGTTGGACGCTTAACCGACTGAGCCACCTAGGTGCCCCTCACTGCCCTGTTTTAAACTGATGTTGGTGTGATTCAAAAGAAATCCAGCTCTCCCATCCGTCCCCTTTCTTTAATCTCTCTCCCAATGCGATCAATAACACTTAGGTGGTGAATACTCCAGGCTGTCAATCACCCTGTAGTATGAATTAATTTCTATGAGCTTGCTTTCTTACAAGGGTGTTTTAAGTAATAGAAGAAATAGAAATTTTGAATACAGGAAAGAAAAAGACCCAGTGGTCATTCGGGAACACAGGGAACGTAAGGGGAGTGCAAGTCCACGTGTGGTATTTGGACAGTCAGCAACATGAAAACCCAGGCCTTCGAGGGCAAGGAGAGAGACCAATAAAGAGACACCAAGTGGTAGTAGAGACAAAATGAGTTGCTACTTAAAGTTTTCTAGGCCAGGCTCCCCCTTTGCCTTCTTTTCTCAGGCCAGTGGTGGCTCCCATTTAAGTTTGGTGAAATATCACCAACCCTTTTTCCATGCCTCACCTTATTTGGAGTGTGGAATCAAGGGAAAAGCCGGCTGCATGTCACGTCTTCAGGCATTTACAGAACGGGCCCAAACTGGCTGCGCAGAACAAATGGGGCATTCATGGGGAATACATTCTTCCTGATGTAGCCCTCTAGGCCCTGAGGTACAATGTCTTCAATTAAATGTGTGTCTCAATTTTTATTTGATTCTCAATTTTTATTTGTTGCCACTTTTCCCATTTTCTAATTTCCCCCCCAAATCTAGATTTTACAGACCTAGACTTTGAAAAGGGTACTTTTCTTTCTTCCTTATAAGGGTCTTCTTATGTCTAATGTAAACATTTTTAACATGAGGCATTCTTCTTTCCATATATATGTAAGGGGGAAATTATGCTAGTTTAGTGTAAAAATAACTTTCATTTTTTTCCAGTGAATGTTCTTGAATTTTTAATGTCAATGTACAGATTGTTTTTTCATATTTTTATAAGGAAGCAGTTAACTGTCTAAAATGCAGTGAGGTTTGGTTTGTAGCATTTTTAACAGAATTTTGAAGTTTGCTATTAAAAGGAATTGCTTTGCTTTTAAAGGAACATGGCAGGTTAAAATAAGCAAAAATTGAATGTATAAAGTAATAGTTGCAGATATAGAATGTAATGAGACTGTTAACTTGATAATCTTGTCTTTGCCGTATTTAGAGATAAGATGATTCCAAGGTGATCACGTTGTAAAATTGTGCTTAAGACTGGCATGAAAATAGATCCTCAAGACTGTCTTCATTGTGTTCATTGTATTCATTACTGGGATAATGTTTTAGGGAGTGGGTCATTATCAAATTGTCCATATATTTACATATTAAGCTATTTGGGGGGAGAGCACTATTTGGGGCATAGCTTTACAGATGATATCTATCTGTATCTCTCTAGCTGATTTTTCTTGGGTAAAGAAGTATTGGAAGGTGGTTGTAATTGTAGGGTGTTCCAGAAACAAGATGCTGATATAGCATTCTTACCTGGAGCTGTGTAGTCAAGGGGAAGCATCATGAG